TTAATCCTCAAATCCTCAGAATTAGAGAAAATATTGCCAGCCATTAATGTAAATGAAATGAAAGGCCGTTAAAGGAAAAGTGATTTTTTTTTTTTTTTTTTAAACAAAAGTGAGCATGAAATTTAAAGAACTAAGAATATATACGGTTTATATATTTTTCTATTTTATAATTGTAATATGAATTTTATTTAATTTTTCTTTTAAAAAAAAAAAGGTGCATAAAAACGAGCCAAGGTGAAAGTGATTTGAGTGGGTCAGTTTGGACAAAATACAATGAATAAGTAATTTATACAGTTTTGAAATTCATCATTAAAGAAAATATAAGAAAAAGATTTAAACTGTAATAATGGAACAAATGTATCGGAAAACTCTTCCGTAACAAAAGAGAACAATCGGCAATAAAGAAATATTGAAGGACGAGAAATATTAAAATCTGAAGTGGAATTTAATCAGTGGTTATATACTGGAAGATCTAATTAGATTTATTTTTATAGCACTACCTAAGAAGCCAGAATTCTTATGAATAAAGCATGCAGCAGCATCAGGCCAGAGGTAGGATGAGAACAGTGTGGGTTTGTTAAAGACACTGGAACAGGGAATGCAATATTTATGCTCAGAATATTAGAAAGGGCAATATAAATGCAGAAGGATTTGTATTTGTGTTTTATAGATAATGCAAAAGTGTTTGATAAAGTACGTCACAAATAACTATTGGAACTGCTAGGTAACCATGACATTTGGGAAGGAGATTAGAATATAGAATAGTCCAATACCCTTACCTGCATATAGATAGAAAATGAGTTCAGTAAATATGCAAAAATAGAAAGGGGGGTGTAAAACAATTCTTATTGAACTTATTCAAACAATATGGTGAGGCAATTCTGAGAGAATTAGAAGTTCTACCAGGATTCATTATTGGCAGCCATAATCTTAACAGCATAAGGTATCCAGATGATACAATGTTGATAGCAGACGAAAAAGAAACTGCAAGAGAAGAACAGACTAAACATCAGTTACAAGAAGACAGAATGTATAGTTGCTAGCAAAGGGAACAGCCAAATAGCAAATTAGAAATACCAAACTCAAAGAATAGAGGATGAAAAGTGCAATACTGAAATCTGAAGGTGCACTGAGATAGTGAATGATGCCTTCCAAGAAATAAGAGCAGAATCAGTCCACCTCTATGGCAGTGAATGCTGGACAATCTCTTCACAGTTGAAGAAGAAACTTGAAGCAACAAAAATGTTTCTACAGAAGGCTGCTGAGAATACCAAGACCTGAACATGTGAGCAACGATGAAGTTTTAGAGAAAATGAAAACAAAAAGGACACTCTTACATAAGGAAGAGGCAGTTAAAATTTCTAGGACACATAATGAAGAAAGAGGGTTTGGAAAATTTGATACTCACAAGACAGATTGAAGGCAAAAGGTACAGAGGAAAACTACACATAACTGACCTATCGAGCTTAAGTAAATGGATGACAGCAAGGTTTAGAAAAGATAACAAAAATACACGATTTATTAAGAGCAACAGAGGACAGGAAATTGTGGAGAGCCATGGTTGCCAACACCTTGAAGGCACATAAAAGAATATTCAGCGATGAAACAAAGTTTGAAATGGGGTTCAGCTGGTGATGTTCATTCACATTGTCAGCAATTCAAATTCCAATGCATTGGACCTAATTTTTTTTTTTTTTTTTTTTTTTGCATGCAGCCTGAGTTGGGTGGACACAGATTTGAAACCAACTGACAATTAAAGAGACATTGCTCTACGAGGAGGTGTCTTTTTTTTTTTTTAAAGAGTTGAATTTCTTTTGTATTTCTTACGGTTAATCCACACCAAATTGAGGGTTATTTCTTTACAATGGCACTATTTTGATATGCGTAGGGAGACAACTAAAACCGCAACATATTTTAAAAATGCAATTGTGAAATTGTCAACTTCAAAAATGCGATAAAGAGCTGACAATCATGAAATAGTGACATAATTTAAAGAGACATGAAATCAAAACTAATCATCACACAAGAGAGAATTGTATCTTTCAAAAGAGGAAAGATTATATTTTGTATACATATTAATGTTGCAAAGATAACCTAAATAATAAGCAAAATATCAACAGTTAAAATGGAAGGAAATTTCACTATTTTGATGCATACTCACACTGTAAACAAGTACAGTTTGAGTATACCTAGTTATATATATATATAAAAACAAACAGAGATGGCCTGTTTGATATGCTATGGAAGATTATTCAGTAGATGTAGTAATAAGAACAATGCATTTTGGTGCCATAACAGCTGAATAAGAGAAACTTGCTAAGAGATTTTCAAAATCCTTCTTGAGATGTGTGTCTGCCTGCAATTTATCTTACTCCAGACTGACTGGCTTTGTTTTTATTATTTGGCATTTAGCCACAACCATTAAAACTGATCGTTGGTTGAAGGAAAGCTTGAGTCATTAAAATTATCTGTCAGCTTTTGGTCACAAAAGAGACTTTGTTGTTCAGTTTTGTTTTTTGTCATTATCAATTATGTTTTGGTTTTTCACCACAATATTAGAATCTCTGAAATATGAACATTCCCTTCTGCCATTTTCTTTTCTTTTTTTTAATTGGGATGATCTGACTTAAATGCACACAATGTCTAGGCAAATTATTTAAGGTTAAACCAATTAAAATAGCTGTTATGAGAGAGAGGGGGGAGAGCCAGCCAGGGTTATAGAGAGAATAAGGATTTTAGGATTAAAAAAAAAAAAAAGAAAATCCTTTTACATATGGAAATATTGTGAGGTTGGAAGATGTTAAGTTGCAAAGTCATTTTTAGATTTGACAAGGGAAGAAAATATTGACCCTTCCTGTTTGCACAATTTCTTTCTTTTTTTTTTTTTTTTTTTTTTCCCCTATCCCGTGACGCGTAGGGTCATGGGAGTACCATGTGTACTGCAGCCACAGTAGAAGTGGTGTTTCTTGGGCAAGATAGCCTGATGGAGCCCAACCCTCTCAGAGTGGTTTTGGATTCAGTTTTTCTTTCTCCTAGACTGGTTACCATCCAAGGCTATAGAAGTCTGTCCGGCTCCGATTCCTCAATCCGAGATGCTATCCATTACTCCACCGTGTTTCCTAACTCTTTCAATCTACTTTTAAAAAAAAAAAAAATGAATCTTTAGGTTCATTTGTAAGTGATGCTTTTAAATAATTTAAGATGACTCCATAATGTAATTTAAAAAAGTAAATCAAAATAGGATTTAAAAAAAAAAAACTAGAAGAATTTAATTTCTGGTAGATTTTTTTTGTGTGTGTGTGCGCGTGTATTATATATGTATATGTGTAGAGAGAGAGAGACTATTTGATAAAATAAAAGGTCTTGTAACATTTACAAAGACTATCCCACAAGGAGGTTATGGCTGAGATTGTTGTTTTCAATTTTTTTTTTTTTTTTTTCCCCTCTTATCCCCCTCTTCCTAATAAGCACATTTAATTATGACTTAGATTATCTCACAAAACCTTCTCTATATTTTCTGTTTATCAGATAATCCTCTCTTATCACAGCTTATTTTCTTCATTAGGCAATTTAATATGTTTTTATTATTCCTTTGCGCATTTTTTCTCATTTGTCTTTTCACATTTGCTCCAAGCGTACATCTTTGTACTTTTTGTCATTTAATTGATAAAATATATTTTAATATGACTAACCATTAACTGAAAATTAATTTGCTTAACAAATTTGTCTTTTCTGTGTAAAATTGACATTTTCCTAATTATATATTGTATTTCACTTTTTCTTTCTTTTTCTCTTGACTGTTCTTTTGTAATGCTACCTATTTAAATAATTATTTCGAAGGCAAACATTTAGCACCCATCCCTGGCAACAGTGTCTCTCTCTCTCTCTCTCTCAGTTGAGGTTGTAAGGCAAATAGATGTTCAATTAAGCTTCTATTTCTTGAGACATGTCATCACTAATTAAAAGACATACACACATGCACATATTTTGACACTTAAGTTTTTCTGTTTTCTACTAAAGATTTCTGCAGTTTTATTTTAAGCTAACTTGCTTTTGTAGAGGGAATAAAAAATTGTTTCTTGCTGCCAACATTGGAATCTTACATAAAACATACCTTTTTTGATATGCCATTTGAAATGATAAGTCTGCGGGAATAAATATTTGAAAACACAGTCAGACAGTGTCAATCAGTTATGCACTTTCAATCCTCAGACAGTGGTGGGGGGAGGTCTAAATGTAAACTGCATAATTTGAAGATTGCAATGCTCTTTTAAGTGGGATGGGAGTCGTTTTTTGTTCAAGGCACTAAATTTCAGATCTGTAAACAGTCTCTTCTGACGATGTGCCAGTATTTGTAATTCAAAACTTTTTCATTTTGCTTCTTTTTTTTTTTCCCCCTCTCTATTGGGTGAGAATTTCACAGGATCAATTTTATCTCTGTTCCTGGGAAATGTTTCAGTATTGAACTCTTAAATGTTTACATTATTCACTACTGATCCAAAAATTCAACTTTATTTATCATCCACACTCTTTGTCCAGAGACTTTTTTCTTTACTTTTCTTTTTTTTTTTTTTTTTTTTTTTTTTTTTCTCTCTCTCAATAAGTTTTTGTTATCAAATGAAAGTTTGGTTGTGTCTAATTCTAGGGGCCAAGAATAGATTAACTACATTTATTTACAAATAAAAAAGATATGTTTGAAATTGGTTAGAACAAATTCTTTTGATTTGTTGAGTCTTAAAGTTTTCTAAGAAACTGATATCTGTTAATGTTTTGTATCTGTGATGGTAGGTGGAATTTCAAATCAGCGACGCTCACTTCTCAGGTTTTATTTTTGAGAAATTCCAAAGGTGACATAATGTGGGAGTTCTCTCTACTGTTGTATCCATGTTTAGTTTCTTTCTTTTAAAACTTTTGAAATATTACTCTTAACCAGTTCATCTAACATGTTTTCTTCTTTTTTTTTTCCTCTCTCTCTCTCTCTCTTATTTTTTTATGCTCAGCATCACATATCATGTCAGGGCCTCAAAGCTCCTCTAACGTCCCTGCTATTCATCAACTGCCTACAGTGATTACCAAACCTAAGGTGCTCATGTCCGAGCCAGCCCGAGTCATAGTAAATGGACCGACATCTGCAGGACATGCCTCCGTGCTAACAAATGGTGCTGATTTTGAAGTGAAAAAAGAGACAATCATCAGTCAAGGTTAGTCTGTCTGATGAGCATCGCAAATAAAAAGGCTTTACAGCTTTTTTTCATTTTCTAACCTCGGAATAAATACAGCAATTCTTAAGTAATTAATGTGTAAAAGCATAAAATTTAATTTTCATGTTGGTCATTATATGATTAAAAGAATTTTTCTCTCCACTTGGATCCTCACTAATTTTACAATAGAATTGGCAGTAGTTAGTATAAAATATTATTGGACAATTAGAATAAGAAAACATTTTTTCTTTCTTAGTTGATTAGTTCAAAAATAGTAACAGATAAAATGACCAAACAGGAATTGGTTTCATCTGGTTGCAAAGAAACTTGTACAAAATCAAAATTGGCAATTACTAAAATCTCTATGCTGCTCAATAAGCTGATTCTCTACACTCACAGCCGAATGCTTTTATCAACTCTTATCGAGGCTTCATATTTTAAGTACTGTATTTGATGGCATATAAGGCACACCTTTTTTTTTTTTTTTTTTTTTTTTTTAAAAAATCTTTTACAATTCCTCTGCGTCTTATATGCCATGTGTAGGTTTACTAATTACTAATTTTTTCTTGATTTGCCCTGCTGAAATTGGGGTGTGTCTTATACACTGCCAAATATGGTAATCTCTAATTCAGGCACAGGAATGAAAAAAACTCTTAAATTTGGCATTCAGTTATTTAAGTCTTTACAAAAAGGTGTAATTGGAATTAAGACTTTTGGAAATTTTGTAACTGAATTGTTCTGGACTATTCTCATCCCAAATTAACTTCCATACAAATCTCTTTTCTGTTTACTTTTCCAGCCTTGTTTGATACAACAATATAAATTACATGAATAATAAGTTGTTGAAAAGGAATGATGCAACTGGTATGTTATCAAAAATTTGGGTATTGATTTACTTTAGGTGAGAACTTGTGAACTCTTGATAGTCTGGGAATCTGGGTATAGAACAGATGAAATTAGTCTTTTAAATTGCTATTCTATTTGTGTGCAATCTCCAAGACTCATGGTGTTTTTGCATTTCAGATGGAAGCACAAACAATGTAACATCAGGATCAGCAGGCAACCAAATGCCAGTGGCAAGTTTGAAGACCATCAAAACAACACCATATGCTGCAGTGAATGTGATTGCTCCCTCCACAGCATCCTCTCAACAACAGCATCAGGTGGGTGGTGGTGGTGGAGTGGTGTTAAGCGGTGGAGCTTCTGCCCACTCCTTGTTGTCGTCGTCTTCTTCTTCTTCTTCTTCTTCTCAGGGCCGAACAGCAGCAGCAGCCGGCCAATCTGTAGCAACGACAGACTCAGCTGCCGTAGTAGCAGCTGCCCTTCAAATGGCAGTCATGGGAGCTGGAGATGGAGTGGCTGCAATACACACCAGAGTGTTGGTGAGTCACCACTACAGACATTCCCCAACACTCTAGTGCTCTCTCTCTCTATCTCTCTCTCTCGTTTTTCTTCTTTATTCTCTGTTCTCTATCTCTTTTTAATTCTCCTTTCTCTCTCTCTCTCTCTCTCATGTCTAATTCTCCTTCAACATATCTATCTTTCTCACTGAGAATGCCAAAAAAAGGAAAATGCTGCTTCATTTTGGCCAAGCAACAGTTGGTATTTTGTCATGATGAAATTTTTTCTAATAATAATGAACAATTCTAATTAAACATGAAATGATGCTTAGTGCAATATGTCTCTTATTTTCATTGACTTCAACTTCATTTCTTTCCCATACGACTTGACTATTTTCATCTGTGAATCTCCATAATTCGAAAGTTTGAAGCATGAAGAAATTAAGTTACTCGGAGTTATCGCACCATTTCCAGGGGAGACAATTCAGTTTTAATTGCATTGTTCTCAGGAGAGATTTTTCATTTGAGAAACGAAATCAGTAGCAATTTTTTTTTCTTGTCCATCTGCGATCGATTGATCAACTGAAGGAGCCATTTCTGTTCATTTTAGAAGTTCCAAAAATCATAAAATAAACTTGATACCAGGATATATATTTAAAAAAAAAATCTGAGGTAGAGTTGGCTATATTAAAGCCATTTCGCTTAAAGAGTCTTCCCGGTTGGGATGAATACATTGTTGGAACACAGGAATTTCTTTCCCAACAGTAGAATTGGTCAGTTTGGCAATTTGTTTCAGTATCAATTTCCGTTTTTTTGTTTGTTTTTTTTTTTTTTTGTTTTTTTTTCCCCTCCCCCTTGATACCACAGTTTTTGCTTCAGTTTTTCGTTTTTTTTTTATTTAGTATCTTTGCTTTCTAAGGAAGCCATTGGCTCTGCTATCAACTTTCTTTTTAATTTCATCATATTCTTTCTTGTGGCATCTTTTCAAATGACTTCACAGACTACTCATGTTTCCTTGACAAGCTACTATGTTGTTTTTGCAAATACGATATTTGCAAGAAGTCTTGTCGCGTAAAATAAATGCCCCATATACTTTTCAACTTTTGAGTTGTTTTTTTAAATGTCTGCCATTGTGGAAGTCTGTTAACTGGTGCATAAGTGGTCAATATTTGGTTTTATGGAAGGGTATAAAAATTTAAGACAGACCACTGGAATTGAAAACCCCCAAAAAGCCATGAATCTGGGTGGTTAATAAACTAGGATTGTTCACCTCAAGTCAGTTTTTAGGCTTTAAAGGTAATTTAGTCATAGAATTCATAATTTAGATTAAAGTTTATTTATTAAACTTTTGAATAAATTGTCAACTATAAATCATTACCTTATTTATTAATAAATTGGTAAAATACGGAAAAATATTGTCAAATAAACTATCTGTATTTGTGTCTTTGGACAACACGTTTGAGAGAGAAAATGGTATAGCTCTCCAGAAATTAGTTTATGATGTGGCTTTTAAAAAGCAAAAAAATGAAACCTCCCTCATGTTTAAAATAATTAAAAATATGGCAATTCTTTTCTGGTACGTCAGTCAACTGTTATTGGGGTTTTCAAAATTTCTTCTAAACAAGGAAAATCAAGGAGTTATTTAATTTATTTATTTAGGGACGGGAAAAATATTAAAAATAATTAAAAGCTTTTAATTTCATTTTAGAATGTGTATATTTCCAAATCTGAGTATTACCAGTTCTTTTTTAGATACACATTTTAAAACTGAAATTAAAACCAATTTTAATCATTTTAATATAATCTTAAGTGTATTTGCTAGATAAAACGATATTTGTAAAAACAAAATGAATTTTCCTTGTTTAGAAGAATTTTATAACACCCATCGAACACTAGTGGCTAAAATAGAATAATTTTTACTTTGGGTTTAAAAAAAAGTCTTGCAGTTTTGAAAAAAAAATACATTTTAAAACGGATTAAAACTTACTTTATTTTTTTTAATATCTAATCTTATTTGTATTCGCTAGATAGAAACATGATTTTATTTGTAGAAAAAAAAACAATTTTACACTAGAGACTTGCATATTTGGTAATATACGCATTTTAAAAGTGAAATTAAGAACTATTTTAATTATTCTTAGTATCTAAATTAGGTGCATTCCCTAGATATAAAACAAATTTATTTAAAAAAAAAAGATCTTCATTCATTTTTTTTGTGTTTACAACAACTTTATTTCCTGATTGGCGTACTGGCTTAGTAGAAAACCCTTACAAAAAATCTGATTTCATAAAATATAACATTAAAATGAAACTTGGTAACTATTTTATTTTTATTTTTTTTTACTTGCTATTTTGTTAACTTAATTTTATCACATCTCTATCTATAAAAGGCAGGATGTGTGTGTGTGTGTGTGTGTGTGTGTAATGAATGCATGGCCACAATTTTCGACAGATTTGCACCAAAATTTACATGCATATGCTCCAAGTTAGTGGGAAGGCCAAGACCGACTTTGCATTTCCCAACTCCCATCCATAGTGGAAATAATTGATTTTTTTCATGCTTCTACAGCAGTTTTCATGTAGTTTGCGGCCATTTTCTACTGGCCAGAGTGAGAGCCTATAGCTGGCTGCCACGAATAGGCAGGAAGATTCTATTGGCCAGCGTGAGAGCCAACAGCTGACTGACACGAATGTTAACTAGCATGCAAAAAAAATCGATAGCTGCATTTGTCACAAGTGGGAAAAATTTAAATCTGCATGGCACTTTACTCCAATTGGCTCATTTGCTTGCTTAAACTCAATGTTGATTCTGATTCCGCAGAACTGGGTTGGGTGTGAAAAAGTATTTGTTTTTGTTAACATTCTTTTTTCATTCGGTTTTTCCAGTTACGAGTGATTTTTTTTTTTTTTTTTTAAAGCTGATCGTTTTGTGTTCATTTTGTTTAGTTCTTTTTTCATAACAGATTTAATGTTTAGTATAGAGCTTCGAAAAAATTCGCAGTGTGAGATAGGCAAGAAGTAAGGCATGTAGCAACATCAGCACAGCAAAGGGCACTCCTTTAAAGGCAAGGAAGGGCAAAAATATTTTAAGTCAAGTGATAGCGATTGCTGTATGAGTCGTACGATTTTTGAATCAAGCACGGGCAACGCCAGCCCATGCTGCTAGTCTATCATATTTCCTTTTTTCATTTCTTTTGTAAACAAATTGATTTCACATTTATTTCCTAAAACTAGTAAATTAAATGTTTTTAAGATTTTTGTTTAATCTTTTTTTCTTACAATGGTATAAATGTTGATAAAATTTAATTTTATTAACATTTGAAAGTTTTTTTTCAATAGTGTTTCTTTGGATATGGTCACTCAGTAGTGATAGAACTTAAAAAACCAAACGATTTCAGTTTCGTAAAAAATTTCAATGCAGTCTCACGGTGTGAAGATGTAACCAAAAAAAAGTTAACCACCCATCTCTACCCAACAGGAATAAATTTTTAACATTTATAGCAACTTCACTTTCTTTCTTTTATTTATTTATTATTTTTTTTCTCCTTCTATATTTCATTTCTACATGGTTGGAAAAGAAGCATGATACACATTAGTTGTTTTCACATTTTAAAAGAAAATATAGGTTTAGTTTTGAACATTTGGTTTTTTTAACCAAGATCAGCAAATATATAAAAATAAACTGGTGAAAAATGATTTCTCTATTTGCAATTTGGTTCACATAAAGCAAATTATGATATTTTACATGTCCTTCTGGTAATTAAAAAGTAAATAGAATTTCAATATGCTTTTGGACAATTCTTTTTTTTTTTTTTTTTTTCTAAAAGTATAATTGGTCATAGAATGAAGAAAATATAAAATTGGCATTATTTTATAATCATTTGCTTTAAGGTTTTCAAATGGATTGTAAAGTGAGATTTGCATCATTTTACATGATTATTAATGATTTTTCATAGAAGATTTAAAAACAATGCAATTAATTGTACATTATTGGGTGGGGGCATGATGGTATTTTTTGTTCATATAATTAAAACTTATCCAGAATTAAAGATAGGGGTTACTTTTGATTTTATTGATGTCCCTTGTAGATTCTCTACAAATCAACCTAATGGGATTTTTTTGCTTTGCTTCTTTCTACAGGTGCCCAATAACAATGCAGGTTCAGGATTGAAACGGGATCCTGAAGATCAGGTAGAAGACCGACAGGAGGAGGATTTACACAATGCAAAAAAACTTAAAATGGAACCTGTTTCCTCCAGTGAAAAATGCTAGTACACCCACCTACCCATACACCAGCCATATATGGCTTCATGCATTCACATGTATATTCCAGTTACTGACTCTACAAAAGCAACAACAAAAAAAAAAAATAAAAAGAACTTCAGGAGTAGCAGAGCCTCTACCATCCCCTCCCGTCCCACTCCCCTGCCGTCTTCATGGAACAATCTTTTTGGCAGAATGGTGACTTATATGTCCCGTTTTTCTTCTTCTTCTTCTTCTACTCCTCTTTAATGCCTTTCTCCGATCATTTTTGGTCACACTTGATAGAACAACAACAGCAACAACATGGTGACCCTTTCTTCTTTCACAATTGGCCACTTTGTCATCATCAGCAACAAGGCAGGCTGCAAGTGAATTTCTATGGATACCAGCAGGTGGTGGGTGGGTGGTTGTTCAGCCCCGCCAAATGATTGCAGCAGCAATGGATGCATGGATTGGTTGTTCTATTTTCTATCTTGAAAAAAAAAATTTTCTTATTTCTCTCTTTGATGTTTGTCACTTGGAATTGCCAGAGAATGACAGGGATTACAATCCAAGACTCTGGATTCTACAAGGTTTCTTCAGTTGCCACTTAAAGAATATCAGCAACAGAAATTATCTGGAGAGCAGGGTAGGCGGGGGAGGGAGGGTGATTGCCAGTCAAGCTGTTTTCCATTTCTTCCCTCCCCAACAAAGTAAAAAAAAAAAAGAAGAAAAAAAAATTGAAGCCAAGAAAAGTTTTATTATTGAAATAATTTTATGCAAATAATGTTGAAAGCTATTTCTTTTTGACTCTTGTGCCCTAACTAAATGAATATGCATTTCTTATAATTCACCACAGGGTGAGGGTGGGGGTGAACTAATCCGGTTTAATTTATATCATCCTTACTCTTACTGCCCATCCCAATTATTTTTTTTTTTTTTTTTTTTTTTTTTGCGTGTATGCGTGTGTGTCAGTTATTGCTGTCAATGCAAGTGTGACATAAGCAGGTTGAGTGAAAGCAAAATATCTTTGGTGTTTTACTCAAGTAGGATTTAAACTTTTCTATTTCATAGTATCCTTTTTTCTTTTCTTTTTTTTTTCCTTTTTTCTCACGACCAAATTTGGTGAAATTTCAGTTACCCCTCCCCCCACTTTTTTTAAAAAAAATTTTTCTTTCTGATTTAAAAATATTTTTGTACCTTTTTGAGTCTCAGGATGAATTTGGTTAATTTTCAGTTTTCTCATTCCTGAAATTGAATAACCAGCCTCTTTGCTTTTATTTTTTAAGCTTCTGTCTTGTAAAAACTCAGCATAAAAAAAAAACAAGTCTTCCTTGTTGTGATCTCAACCTTCACTCACAATTAGCCAAGTTGTCTCTTGTCTCAAAATCATTTCAAATAGATCCAAATTCTTTTTTATGGAAATATCAATGGAAAAAAAAAATTCTTGGATAAAAAGAATCTGAAAAAAAAAAAAAAATCTATATATTTTCCTCAAAAGAATAAGTAAAATACATTTGTTGTTGAAGCTCTCCTTTTTTTTTCCTGACAATCTTTGCTTTTTATTATTATTATTCACCTTCCACACTCCCACCCCTTTTCTACAGTCTGAGGTGCATTAGGTCAAATTCAGTGCAATGTGTGATTGTCTGGTTTTACGTTTTTCCTTACCTAAAGTGTTTTTCTGTTTGTTCCCCCCCCCCACCTTCTCTTTTGTGCCTAATGAAGATGTCTGTCACTTGAAACATTCAAAAGGGCTTTTTGCAAGGGAAAAAAAATCTTTCATGGAAATTTTTTTTTTTTTTTTTTTGTAAATAACTTCTGTTTTAATGTATATCTGTAGCAAATAGTGGTCAAGCTGAGATATTAATGTTCAGAGAAAAGCACTGGATGATTTATTTGAGTGACCTTGTCAAGAAAGATATTAAATAGTAACTTGCCCGATTACAATATCAAAATGACATTTGGCTTTTAAATCCATTTTCTTAGTGATGAAAGCACAGTGTTCATTTTAGCATCCTTTTTAGATGAAAGTGTCAAAAGCAGTTAAAAATTGTTGGAATGTTGAACTTTTTTTTCTCTCTCTCCTTTTGGGAGATTTTTCTGTTCGCCATGAAATTATAAAAAATGGTCACTTCAAGTAGAAAAACTCTACTCGTTACCAGGAGTTTGTCCACATTAACCAGTGCCTCAGACTGCAGCTTTTTATCATTTGTCTTTATTAATGGTGACTGAATTGTGAATTGAGCAACTTAAAATGTAAAAAAAACAAAAAACAAAAAGACTCTCTTCTTATTTACTTGTGACTTTGGCAAATGAAGATTTAATCTCTGATGATTTTTCACATAGAATTATTTTTGCTACTCATTTTCTGATGATTATAAAGGAGATAGAATTTTAATTTCTTCAGTCCAAAGAAGACGCCAACTTCTTGTGTATTTGTCTTTTTATTATTATTATTATTATGTTTGATTTCCTTCCAGCAGCATTTGAAATACTGTGATTTCTTTTAGGACAAGAGACAATTGTGTCAGTTTGTTTTGTCAAATTGTTTTTCTTCTGGTCACATCACAACTGAGGAATGACAACAACAATAACAAACCTCTTTAATCCTCCCACCTCATCTTTTCAATATTTTGAAATAATTACAATTTGCTCAGAAATGCTAGAAATTTGTTTCTTCTTATGATCTTTACTCTGTAATTGTAGCTTCCAATGTAAGTCACAAATTGTCTAGTGCTGGCTATGTGAGGCTCCTTAACATTGTAAAAGAAAACTGAACCAAGGTGAGCAAATGGTCTTTGTAGTAAACTTAAAAACTTCACTGATAAAATGTGAATGAAATGAATTTTGTTTTTAGGTAGGAAAAAAAATTTTTTAATTATTAACAAGTTTAGTAACCCCAAGGCTTGAGGCTTTTTCATTGTTGTCTTTCCTGGATCCATTGTTGGTTTGTCTGAAAAGGAACCCCAGTTTGGTTATCTTTTCTGAATTCTGTCCCTCAAACAAGAGTGAGTGGGGAGACATTGTGATCACAACATATTCTCTTTTTTTCCTATCTTCCTCTTCCCCCCCTCCTCTCTCTCTCATGTCAGTAAGCCAGAATCAAGGTTTCTGTGTCCTTCTGACACCCCCTCCCCTCCCAGTGATGCTGACAGTGCCTTGATAACCAAAATTCCTCTTTGATCCTACTTGCAGCTGTGAGGCTTGGCCTTTGTGGATCTTTCCACTTGCAAATCTTTTTCTCATTTGATGACATTGCTGTTGTTGCAGCCGCTGTTCTCATGTCATCTTCTGTTTTCATCTATTCTCAACACCCCCCTCCCCACCGTGCTTTCTCCATCACACTCTGCTGATTTCAATTTTACCCCCACTTGACAAATTAGTTGCATAATAATATTAATTGGCAAGGATTTGTAAGTTTTTTACTTTTTTTTTTTTTTTAAAAATAAAATTAAATTCATAGGTTTTTTTTTTTTTTTTTTTCTTGATAAATGTTGTTATAAAAATTGGCAAAAGACCAAATTTTATTCCTTGGGAAAAGAGATTTAGGATAATACTGGATGGAACCTTTGGATGTTTCAAATCTTTTTAAAAGACTGATGTTTAAAAATGGCGACAAAAACTATATTAACAATTCCCCACCTCCTCTTAATCCAATGGATTTTTTCTTTAACAAAACAAAATTCCATCATTTTAGCTGGTCTGGCTTTTGCTTTCCTTCTCAAATGACAATTTTGGCTTGAAATATAAAAGATGGTAACCCAAGGGACTTTATTGACTTGTGCTGTGTCTTGACTACACGTGCAGATGGCAACATGCAAAATTCACTTGAACTTGTTTTGGCTTTCTCTACGTATTTTTCCCCATCTCCCTTCTCCAATTCTGTTAAGTGTGGCTGTGTCTGCTTATCGACTGACTTTGTGCAAAAACCCCCATTTGAATGTCGCGAAGGGCAGTTTTGGGGTGGGATCTGCTCCTACACCAAAGTTTAATAGAATATTGATTCCATATTTCATTCTCTTTTCCTTGACTCTGACTACATTTTTTCCCCTTCCCTTCTCTTAAAGACGTTCAGTATGATGAAAAGAAAAATGAAAAAAATTAAATTATGAAAATACTAGCCCCCCCAAATGAAAAAAAAAAAAAAAAAAAAAAATAAAAATAAAACAAACTTAAGTGACTGACAATCTTTCTCCAAGCTTAAATGGAGGAGGAGGAGGTAGATGGCAGTCCTAAGACCAAAAAAATATAAATAAAATTGAGAAAACAAAAACAAAAAAAAAAAAAACCAGACCAACCAAAAATGCAAAGTGTTAAAAAGAAATTTCCTTTTTCCTCTTTATTGTTGTCTAACCTATTAACCTCCTGCAAGTTCTCTCAGGTTATTTCACAGACTCTTTTTGTATCATTTTGACCATCCACCATCTTCTTCACCCTCTTCATCTTCATATTGTGTAGCCCTCTGTTTGTAAAATAGTCTCTTCTCCATATAAAACTGTATAGCATTTTTTTATCATTTTGCAAAACAGTTCATTTGGGGGTCAGTTGGTCGACTGAACCAGCCTGCAAACCAATTACCCAAAAAAAAAGAAAAATCCTCTCCCTCTCTCTCCCTCTCATAAACTGGAGGAGGAAAACATCAAACTACAGAGAGAAGGAGGTGTGTTTTGTTTTCTCCCCCCCCCCCTTTTTTTTTCTTTCTTTCCAGTCCTGACTCTTGAGGGTGGGGGGGATCTGTAGTCCCACAACAAAACAAGCAACAGCTTCATTTTCTCACAAACACATTATCTAATCTATTTACATTTTTTTCTGTCCAAAGGAACAGGAATGCATTTGAAGAAATTGCAATCAATTTTGTTGAGAATTGATCTTTTTTGTTTTTTTCCTTTATTCCCATGAAACGCAAGAAAAAAAATTGAAAGCCAAAAAGAAAAAAAAAAAAAAAAAGAACCAAAGCAAGAAACCTATAAATGTTTTGTTTAGTTGACAGACACACACTCTTTCTACCATCTTGTTTGCTACCCCCAAAGGAAAATCTTTAGAGGCTGCACAGCTGAATATTTCACTCAGCAATTGCTGTTCTCGTGCGCATCATTTTCTTGTTTTGTTTGGTTTTGTTGGTTTCTCCTTTTCTATTTTTTTTCTTTTTTTTTTTTTTTTTTTTTTTTTTTAATTTTTTTTTTTCCTTTTTTATAATAAAAAATTGTATTGGAATGGAATTGAATTTACATATTTAGTTTTTGTTTCCTTATGCAACATTGGTGCATTTGTGGACATTCCTGATGCAGTCACAACTTTGCTGGGCTGGTCATGTTGCAAGAATGAGTGATGACAGAAAACCTAAGCTCCTCATGTAGAGCCAGCTTGACAGTTGAAGGACTGTTGGATGGGCGTGGCTCAGGTATAAAGACAAGCTGAAGAGTAACCCTATCAGCCATCAATGTGTCTCCTACTAACTTCAAGTGAGTTGGCCTGGGTAGAGTTAACTGGAGATGTGCCAGAGTGGTATCAGAAACCTTGAAATTAGTTGGACTGAGTGACTAAGATGAAAGACAATGTTGAAAAACATCAGGTAAATATTCCTGTGGCTATGGCCTGAGATCCTCACTGTTTGCACAATATGTGGACCTGTATGCAGGTCACTAGTGGAGCCGAAGTGTCATGTACAACACAAACATAAATACTGAATAAGGTTGTCAAAATCATTGGAAGAGTCCATCATTTTATATATATATATATATATATATATATATATATATATATATATATATATATATATATATATATATTAAATACTTGAAAAAGAAAATAGATTTAAATCATTATTTTGCCTTGAGGGTAGCCATTCGGACAACACTTTCTCAAAAAGTGAATGTTGGTGAGCAGAAAGAAAGACACATTAATGTCTGTTGTTTACTTATGTGTTTTTGATTATTTCCTTCTGCATGCCAACATTAACCTTTTGAGAAAGTGTTCAAAAGGCTCCCCTCAAGGCAAAAATAAAGACGTCCATTCTATTTAAATATACAGTCTACAACTTATTTGTGCACCCATCAATTTTGAATATTTTTATCCATTTTTCAGGATCAGATGCCTGCATAATGCCAGATTGTCTATATGTTAATAAGTGTATAAAACAATTTTCAGAACAATAGGTTAAATAAATTTGACAGGCAAGTTATGCAAAATAGAAAAAGACAAAATTATTTGTACAGTAGAAAATGTTGTTTTAAATTGATTGATTCGTGTAAGTATAAGTAATTTATATAATTATTTTATTGGTGAAGCCTTCTAGACTATTTATTCAGTAGAAGATTTGTGATAATTCCAGCAAAGAACATCATGTGATGCATAGAGTGTCACCATTGTTATTCTTACGTTAACAATACAATGGGGAAGACAAAGGAGCTTAGCATTGATTTGAAACAGAATTATTAACTTCCACATGTTAGGAAATAGTTACAGCACTATTTCAAACCGGTTAGCTATCCTAAGATTTACAATACATTCCATTATAAAGAGGCTTAAACAGTTTGGTATGACAGAAAATTTGCCTGGATGTGGAAGAAAACCCAAATTATCACCAAGAACTGCATGAAAACTGACCAGGTTAATATAAACCCAAGAGTTGTTTTGAAAGACATCACCAAAAGTTTGGATATGATAGGTATCAGCGTAAGTACTTGCACAATACAACATTGTTTAAATAGAAATGGGTTGTATGGAAACTGACAATGACAAACCCCTCTTCATAAACCATGTCACATTGTTGCTCAGTTTAATTTTGCCAAAACGTTCTTGGACAAGGAAAATGGCTTTAGGGAACAAGAAAGGTGAGGCTTTCCTCCCAAAGAAAACAGTGGCAAGATTAAAACATGGAGGCAGCTTGATGTTTTGGTGTTGTTTACCTAAAGGGAGACTGGACAATTAATTTCAATTAAGGGAATAATGAAATCTGCAGACCATATCAAAATTCTGGATCTACAACTATCTGCACAAAATCTTTATCTAGGTTTGTGTTTTACTTTCCAGCAAGGTCTAAATCAGTGACCACGTGGCTTCAGAAAAAGATTACAGATCTGTCATGACTTTCAATGTGTCTTGACTTGAATCCTATTGAAAATCTATGGCAAGAATTGAAAGTTTGAATAAATCGTCGGTCACCTAAAAACCTTCAGGAATTAGGACGTGTAATCATTGAAGAATAGAAGAAAATTGCAAAAAAGACTTGTTCAAATCTCATCAAAATCTTTAGAAAACGGTTGCAACAAGTTATAAAAATGAGAGGCCATGTTATTGACTATTAATATTGTGAAAATTGTTCAAGGTTTTCTATTTTTTATGTATGAATAATTTTGTTTTTTCCTATTTTGCATAATTCGCCTGTCAAATTTGTTGTATTTAAACCAGAGTTATGAAAATTGAGTTTTATATTCCATCTTTTGTGCTTATTAAGATATTAAAATCTGGCATCAGATTCTGAGAAATGAATAAAAATATTCAAAATTGATGGGTGTACAAATAATTTTGTTGTTGACTCTGCGTGTAAATGCATATATATATATATATATATATATATATATGAAATTTCTGAATAAGTGATGGATAAATAATAAAATAAAAATAAAATATCAGATTAATACATAAAAATGTATTAATCTGATATTTTATTACTTAAAAGTTATTTTTAGTGAATACACATATTTTAGTAGACACTCCATTTATTTATTTTCGCCTACCAGCCTATAATATTTGAGAGATTTTATTAAATAAAAGCTGCACACTCCAGCAGGATTGAAACCTACATTCGGAGACAAAACTGAGCAGAATATTTCAAGGGTCCAAGGGAGATTTGCATTTATAAGGCCCTATTCAACTTTGCTTAATCATCAATACAATTTATGGCTGAGATAGTATAAACCACTTGGGATTTGGCAAGAGGTACACAGGATCGTATCCTGATGACATGCGCACATATTTCAAATAGACCAGTAGACAGAAATAAGTAAATATCAGTCGGTTATGTGCCATGCATGATACACACTTAGGTGATCATGTATCAAAAGATACATGATCACCAAGGAAGATTTTTTTCCTGCAGTAAGTTCCCATTTCTTTCTGTGGTAAACAAGTTGCCATCCAAGGCTATAGAACCCATTCTGT